CCAGATTATAGATTCATCTTCTGCGTTGATTTTTTGAACGAGCGAACGCCATCGCAGTCGGCCTTGCTTGTCTTTGCGGTTTGCGAGGGTCTGCTTCAGTGCCTTTAGACGACACGGATCCATAGACTTACTCTTCTTCAGATAGGTGTCGGCAATGAGTTCATCTTGCAACTCTTTTCCAACTACTGAAGCGAGCGCAGAAAGTTTGACTCCCTTATCCATCCCCTGACGACTGAAAGTAGACATCACAGACAAAAGAGTGAGTGCAGCTAACCGGTCGGGATCGAGGGCTTGCAAAAACACACCGTATTCACAGCGCTCTTTTTGCTCGATACTTACGATACGGTTCGCAAGTGTCTCTTTAACAAGCGCCAACTCCTGTTTAATTCTTGTCACAAGGTCCGCGTGCCATTCGCTCATGATTCTGTTAAGCTTTTTCTCATCGGAAGCGACATTGAATCCGGATTTTTGTCTCTCGGCATTATCTGTACGCCAACGCCAGAGGGCCGAATCGAGACTGTCGGATTCGAGTCGGGTTTGCCTCAAATTTGAAAGCAATTCCTTTCCTTCCTCTTCGGTGCCTGAGAAACCTTCCGGCAAACGTACATCAGAATTGCCGGAGAAGAGAGACAGGGACTGTTTGAGAGATGCCAGTCCCAGTCCCCTTTGGTCGGCAGCTTGCACCTGGGGGGTATTATCGACGATAGGGGAAGGCACTTCAGTGGCTTCGGAGAGATCCATATATTTCGAAACCAAGTCCAGCATGTCGGAGGAACAAATCTAGATGGAGAACATCAGCAGGACATCAGAGTACAGACTAGAAGTGTAAGCTCACCTTAGACAGCTCACCAACATCAGAGTCTTCAAGCACCTCAATGCCGACAAGCTCTTCCTCCAGACCCGCGTTTTGAGCAAGTTCCCAGTATCGACGAACAGTTCTGTCGCGCTTCGATCCATGAAGCATACGCAGCGCCATTCGAATCATAATCGCGAAACTGATTGCATCCGGTGTCACGCCACCGGCGGGCATATCAACTTCAAACCATTTTTGCAACGGCAAAACCATGTCCTGCTGCCGGTTGAGGATCATATACGCCACCATATGTCTCATGAAACGGTTATGGATAGCGAGATACTCATCCGAGCCAGGCGGATGATAATGACCAAGGCGGGTAATCAACTTAGAGGCTCGCTCAAACTCCCCAATCTTCAATGAGAGCTCTAGATTGGCCTTCATCTCTATTTCATCACCGCCGACACCATGCCTCCTGCGGAAAACTTTGGATTCCGATTGTGGCGTCGAGTCGAGGATGATCAGGGATGATGTATCGAAGTTCTCGAAGGGCATGTGCATGAAGTGGTCGTAAGTCTCGTGTGAATGCCCATCGATGCTAGAATGCTCGGCGGCTGTAGCAAGATAACGTTCTGATTGCGGAGACGGATTGCGCGGGCGATCGTGAATCGAATTGCACGACAGATTTAAAAGTGAGTTCCGATTACTCGAGTATGAATGAAAACGTGTTGTTGGCAGATGGAACGATGCTCGGAAGGCTTGAGCCCTCCGCAAGTGAAGAAAGGCATTTTTTTGGCAAGCCACGCGGGATAACATGATGCATGAAATTGGCCTTTTGGAGGATTGGAAGTCGAAGGTTGGAGGTTGAAAGCGAATAAGAATATAATGACTCAAAAAGAAAAAGATATTAAGCGTAGATTATAAGATAAATGCAGACTTTCCAACGATGACAGCCAGAAAAACAGGACACCGCAATGATGGATGTTCAGTGCGATTGTTCCGCTATAGAAGACGGAGAATGACCGCGTCGGCACGCTGTCCTGCAATCCTCGACCAAGCCGAGAAAAAGAGAGAAAGGAAAAAAGGTGTAAAAAACACGAGGGCAACGGGAGAAAGGGAGATTTATCGGACCTGTCGCGATGAAACGGAGATGGCAGAAAAACTAAACAGGCACGTGACCATACCTATTGTCTTATCGTTATTGGCGGACAAGTATGAGTGGCAAGGCTACTAGTATAGGGCTTCCCATGTTCTTTCTTGAAGCAACATGAAGCCTTAGATAATTGCGAGGATGATAATAAGCTTCCGCTAGAAATTGGTTGATTGGATTATTGTACAATATAACTCTTCGCTATTCGGCCTCATTACCTGCGCGGCTTTCTCTTTGCCTCCGGCGATTTTCCTTCATAGCCCAACCAGTCATGTCGGGGCGGGTAGGATCAATCCTAGGGGCACTCATTTTATCGAGGTAGTCTTCCGACTCGATGTTTGATTCTAGGGATGGGAGATGTTCGGTGTCCTTGTGAATCATATAGCGTTCATATGTGTACCAAGAATCCTCGGCCTGGGATCGGTAAGAGTTAGTATGAAACAAGAATGAGAAAGGTCCATCAAAGAGAGAACTTACCTCGGCGTCAACCCAGCCGTATGTTTTCCATTTTTCATCTTGCATTTGCTTAAGGAGGTCTAGGTTGCCGGCGTTTGCAGCTCCTTCACTATCTTCAGCGGCCTTGACCTTAATATCAATTGCACGTGCTTCGCTCTCGGTAGGACGGTCATCGTCATCCTTTTTAGCACGTGAGCCTTTCCCTTTTGGCATCTCATCTAAAGCATCCAGGTGGTGAAGTTGAGGGTGGAATTGAACAACCGATGTGACGGGGGAGAGATGCAAGTTTTCTATGAACAGACGTTAGAATCAAATGTTGCCACCGGAGAAGAAAGTGATAGGTAGGACAAACGTACTATCTGTGAAGGTGGCCAGCATGTAGACTGGATCGCCTTCTTCAGAAGGCTTTATCCGACCTCCAAGTGACTGCACTCGCAGCAATGATGCAGAATCCACGGCCCTCTTATTATCCAATATCTCCACATCCCCATTCGCTTCCATCTTGACTCTCCCTCCTGCAGCTGCGGTCCCGCTACCAGCAGTAAAGCCGCCTGCCATACCGTAAGCACCCCCGTCGCGCGCGGAACGGCTCTTCTTTACCGCATCCCCATAGCGCATTCCCTTGTTGACGTCGTAGTTTTCTCGGGTACTAATGGGGACTTCAACTTCAATAAGACCAGTGCGCGGCTTAAGTCGAAGTTGGATCGGTCGTTGATTTTCTTGGTCATTGTAGGGACGGTCGTGTTCCCGATCAACGTATTGGAAGACATAGCGAGAAACATCGGAGTCGGTGAGGAGGACGTCGTAGGAAGCGACGACAGGATCGTCATCAGGAAAAGTCATGGCGATATGGTTACTAAATATCTTAGATGAACAATGGACGCGAAAGAACGAGGGAACCAGTAACAATTGCAAAATGAACGACTTGGACTGATAACTTTTTTTATCGAAATTCCTCAGCGGGGATGTGGCAGAAAATACAGCTAGTTATCGGTTCAGGATTATGTACTCACCGCTCTTGTGTACTGGTTTGAATCAAGATCCCGTTTTTCCCCCCTTGTTTACTCTTTTTTTCTTCTTGGGGACCACCGAGTTGTGCTGAGAGAGCCACCATGCTATCCCCCCTCTCATCATGAAGCACTCTCCTGACGTCGAGGCTCTTCTAGCCTCCGTCATCATTGAACACGCCAATTCTTCTTTGATGCCTTCCTAGCGTGAGAGACGCACCCCTGCTCAAATCTTCCTATTTTCCGTCTATTGTTATCAATCTGTTCGTCCATACTTACATCAGCCCGCTACCATGACTTGAGGGCATCTGACACGCTTGTGCCAAGATACGCACCGTTCCTTTTAACTAAGGTAACGAACCATACGGAAGTCGACAAAGAAATGCCCCCGGATGGGGTAGTCGCAATGAGTAAGGGACGTCAAGGCCGCCCGAAGCGGGGTGGTGTATTCGTCTCACCGTGACCTAGTCAGTCACTTGAGAGCGGTTCCCTAGTATAGGGCAACCAACCATACGGAAGTCGACAAAGAAATGCCCCCGGATGGGGTAGTCGCAATGAGTAAGGGACGTCAAGGCCACCAGAAGCGGGGTGGTGTATTCGTCCCACCGTGACCCAGTCAGTCACTTGAAAGCGGTCGCAATGACCAACCAACCAGGCAAGGGCTTCGCGCCTCTATACCTAAGAAGCAGGCACCGGCATCATTCGATGTCGGTTGCAATCTCACCCATGTGAGAATGATGTGGCCCACGCGATCCGATGTGCCTTACATCATGGCGCGGTTCAGGATGCTCGGGTTGGATGAATTGGTGCGATGTCAACTGACGGAGATGGCTGGGTTTGAGCAGGATCTAAATACAATTAGCTGGACCGTGGACTACTCTCAGATCTCTTTAGGATTTGCACGTCAATAATAGAGTTGTTTGGCTAAATATTCGACCCACGTAGGCTTGTTTAGATCTAGTTTGGTGAGACATAGATCCATCACCCAAGGTCTCGTAGCTTTATAAATATCCTCAATCCTAGCGGTTTTCTAATTGTCGCTTGATCGATCTCAACAGCCATCATGTTAGTACGTATTCAGATCGCAGCGTGTTGTCATCTCTCGCTGGGTCCTCGCCGCCAAACAATCTCGTGAGAAACTGCAGTATGTGACGTTCGTGCAGGGCTTGCACCTTACCGGGAAATAGCTCAGGATCCCTCGGTCATGTTTCTTTCCACTTGTTATGGTCTTTTCCATTTTGCGCAGTAGCTGACCGACACCCGTTGACATGTTAACATGCTATAGGGCTAACATGTTCTGCTGTCGATAATAATTTAGACTGTACGGAGTACATGCTTTTCTCCACTCAGTTTGTGCTGAGTGGATTGTTATTCCTTAGGTAAAGAAATATTATTCGTAAAGAATCGAACTTATCTTCGATCCAGTCTCATGAATAGATCATTACATCACGTTGAGACGACAAGCACCAGACTAGGAGTCTTATCTTCGAGTTCCACAAGACAAATGCAGTTCCACGGAGAATTGTTAGCTAGCCAGAGAACAGGGGGTATTCATCTGACAGCCCAATTCTCCAGCAGCTGTATATGTTCCTCTTTAGACCACACCGAGGGTAATGACAGCATGGCAGGCCAGAATGAAACACATCCAGCCATCTATACATCGTGAGCGTAGCACATAGCAAGAGATATAATGTCTCAACATACCGGAGCGGGTTTCCTTGGTGTTCTCCATCTTCATCTTATCCTCGGAAGATGCAGCTTGCGGGTGGCTGCATGACCAGCTCAAATCAGCGATCCGCAATCCAAAATAGGCTACTCTTCACATACCTGTCTCTTCCCCAGAAGCAAACGTGGGCGACGATACCCACAACAATAAGCGCAATAAGAATGCTGGCAGTGAAGACGGGCAAGAGGGGCCAACCCTGGAGCCCGTGGGAATTCTCGAGCTTGCTGTAGCTAGTGTACGTGTCAGTTGTAATTATTTTAGTGGACGGGCCGTGGCCTGTCCATTCTATGTCGTACTGGTTCTCAAAGCGCGCGGGCTCTCCAGTCATTCCTGGGATGGGTGCCATTTTCAGCTGACACGGTGGGTATACCACTGCCCGGTGACGACAAAGCTGTGCGCGTTTGCGGGGTATCTAGGTCTGTCCTAGTGTTTTCAACGCGTTAACGCGTCGAAAAAGGCAATGGAAATCGATAATCGATATCCCAACGAACTTGTATGAGATCAACGCTGATTAGCGTTGGGTTGAATACGATAGTATCAAGAATAAGATCCTCGGTTGCAAGATGCGATGGATACACAATCTTGAGAGGAAAGAGAAGGAGAGAGGAAAAGACAATGCGGGGAGGTGAATATCTGAAGGAGCTGGGGACTGCCTGGCGCCTGACAAACAAACCACTGCACTTTGAAAAACAAGTCAAACTTTAGGGAAGGTGGTGTTTCCTGGTTCTTTCCACCAAACAAATGACAATAGGCGAAGAGAAATAGAGCTGAGATAATAGAAGGCTACTAAAGAGCCTTACAATGAACCCAGGAGAATCTATAGAGAGTTTATCTGAACCGCAGTCGTTCTACTAGGTAGATTCAATCGGATAATTTAGCTCAAATAGCAATACATAGGTAGCAATATGGTATACCATGGCATACATAGGAACACCATCGTCACTCAAAAGCCACAGAAGGAACGTGAGTAGCATCCTCCTCTGACATAGACTGCATTCTCGTCAAGAAAGTCCCAGCTTTGGCAGCACACTGATCAGCCTCCTTTCGAAAGTTCAGAATCCATGCAACCATAAGCACATCGTGCGGCAAATTATCCTGCACGAAATACTCCACTCGACCTTCATTCTGCTGAATTTTACCCAAATGCCTCGCTAACCGATCATGTTCCTGACACATAACCTCCCTGCCACCGGACACAATCAAAACAGGGGAAGGCAGGATGAAGGGATGCCAGAGCGGCGCAAGATACGGCTCGACCTCGCTCGTGATCTCTAGGTTACCAATAAAATGCTTTGCACCCCATTTAGGGAACGACGGTGGGATATAGTCCGTTTGCACATTGGGAAGATTATTCCAGAGATCCTCGTTGCGGGCAGCGGGAATATCGCACCAGGGCGAGAAAAGCCACGTGCATGTTGGTGGTGGGAGGGCCTTCTCGTCGTCAAAGTGGCTGATGTAACGCAGGAGTGCGAGGGCGAGGTGGCCGCCTGCGCTGTCGCCACTGAGAACTATGCGAGATGCCGGGATGTGCAGGGTGTGGAGTAGATATGAATAGGCGGAGATGGCGTCTTGGAGTTGGGCTGGGAAACGACCGTTGGGGTTGCAGGCTAGACGGTACTGCAGGCTGAAGACGTGACTTACCGGTGTGCGCTCTAGCACCCTGTTGGCGAGGAACTGGCAAGATGATGTGCGGCCGTCGCCGAGGATGTAAGAGCCGCCGTGAAACTGGAGCACGACGTACTTATCTTGGGTAGTCGTTGTGTTGTATTGGTAGAGTGATGGGAACCATGTGCCTCCCACGGTGACTGGCTGGATCTCGTTGTCCACTGCAATGGTAGTGTAGAGCTCTGGTGCACCTGGCTCTATTACGACGAAGCGGTCTCCGTCTAGACCTGGCTTGAGGGAAAGTGGTGGTTTTGTGCGAAATGCCACGAAGATGTATAGAAAGACTTTAATGAAAGTGTTTGCTAGTGCTTGTCGATATGACCAGTCCTGGTCTTGACGGAAGCGAGGGCGTAGATAGAGCAGTGGCGCGAACATCACTGATAAAAACGATTTCATATTGATCTGCATATTGCAACTGGAATGGTCGTTAACGAAAGTAATAAGAGGAACGATAGAAGTAACGATAGAAGTAACGATAGAAAGAATGATAGAAAGAATGATAGAAGGGATGATCAATTGAAATCAACATTGAAACTTTTGAAGTCAAAGACGCACTGGGGTGCCCAGGTGATGTCAGCTGTGCATCAGCTTCCCGTGGTTACCAACGCCCCCTGGCCTGTTTCCACGGTTGGGTTTCTACCACCTTTTCAAGGCCTAGAGGGATAGCAAGAGGTGCTAGAGAAATGATATCATTTGAGTATATATGTACGGGCAGACTTGAGCTGTCATTGAAATGCACATGAAAGGGAATAAAAGAGAAAAAAAGACGAAATCTAACATTTTTGCATGGAATCATACAATCGCCAAGACATCAATGCATTGCGACGTGAGATACAGACGTGAAAATATCCAATTAGAAGGGGAAGAAAGCAAATTTTAGATCCCATGAGAGTCATAAAAAACCGGAGATTAGATGTGTAACGGCTGTGTTCAGCAGTTACTCTTCTTCTTCTTCCTCATCTTCGGCAACCTGTAGGAGATTATTAGAATCAATAGGGTGGATATCATAGAAGGAATCACTTACGCCATCGTGGAAGTTCTGTCCGTCGGTGGTGGCCTTGATGATACCGGCGCGGATACACCAATCACCGAAACGCTCGGGGGTCTCGCCGTCGGTGTCGCGCTCAAGAGAGTATCGTTTGAGGAGGCCCTTCATAATGTCAAGGATCTCATCCTCCTTGATGGAAGAGCGGTAGCGCTTGTTCAAGCGCTGGCCGTGGTAGCCACCGCCCAGGTACATGTTGTATGCACCGAAGGCCTTTCCGACAAAGGCAACCTCGGCGAGCCAGGGACGAGCACAACCGTTGGGGCAACCAGTCATACGCATGACGATGCTGTCACGAGCAAGACCGCACTCCTCCAGGGTGGACTCGAGCTTGGTGATCAGAACGGGGAGATAGCGTTCAGACTCTGCCATGGCCAGACCGCAGGTAGGGAAGGCAACACAAGCAGAGGAAGACAGACGCAAGCCAGTGAAAGCAGTGTTGTCAAGCTTGTACTTGGCCATGTGCTCCTTGACGGCGGGGAGGTCTTCGTCGGTGATGCGAGAGATAATTAGATGCTGGTTACCGGTAAGACGGAACTCGCCCTTGCCCATCGCAGCAAGTTCACGGAGACCAGTACGCATCTTGAAATCAGCAGTATCCTCGATACGACCGTTCTCAATGAAACACGTGAAATGGTTGAGACCAGTATCGTCCTTAATCCAGCCGAAGGTATCGACGTTTGACTTGAACTCGAAGGGGCGGGGCTCGCCGAACTTGAGCCCGTCGGGCAGAAGCGCCTCGACCTCGCTTCGGAAAACGTCAACACCCATATCGTCGATGGTGTACTTCATACGGGCGTGCTTGCGGTTCTTGCGGTCACCGTTGTCACGCTGCACGAGCATGATCTTCTCGCAGGCAAGGTGGATCTTGTCGGCGGGAATGTATCCGAACATGCGACCGGTCTGGGGGTAGGTCTTGGTGTTGTTGTGGGTGGTTCCCATACCACCACCAGCCAGAAGGTTGAAGCCCTCGAGGTGGCCATCGGCGCCCTTGATGGCAATCAACCCAATGTCGTGGGCGTAGACATCAGTGTCGTTGTGAGGAGGAATGGCAATAGTGATCTTGAACTTGCGGGGAAGGTAGGTAGGACCGTAGAGGGGTTCGTGGTCAACCATCGCATCTCCAGCAACCTGAACCTTCTTGTCATTGTCATCCTTCAGCCAAATCTCGTGGTAGGCGGAGGTTGAGGGGAGCAGGTGCTGACTGATCTTGGCAGAAATTGCCCAGGTCTCGCGGTGGAAGTCAGACAGCTCAGGGAGAGAACTGCACATAACGTTACGGTTCACATCACCGCAGGCAGCGAGTGTGTCCATCATGGAGTTGTTGATGGCACGCATGGCGCCACGAAGGTTGCGCTTGATCACACCGTGGAACTGGAAGGTCTGTCTGGTAGTGAGCTTCATGGTCTCGTTACCGTGTGAGCTACTGATGGCATCCATCTGAAGCCACTGCTTGGGGGTGGCAACACCACCAGGGAGACGGCAGCGAATCATGAAGCTGTACGCAGGCTCAAGACCTTGAGCCTTGCGTTCATCACGGAGATCACGGTCATCTTGCATGTATGTACCGTGGAACTTAGTCAGCTGCTGGTCACTAGCGGGGATGGAGCCAGTGCTCTCATCAAGAAGAGCCTCAGCGATGGTGCCGCGAAGGAAGTTAGAGCCGACCTTAATATCCTCGTTGGTGATCGGAGCAGGCTCCTCGGGAAGACCTTCCACCTTATCGACACCCAGAGACTTCCACAGGCGGGGCTCCCATTCGGAGTACCCGGTCTGGTAGGCATCCGGGTCCTGGTCATCACCGAGGCCAATGTCAGTGAGCTTGCGACCACCTAGGAAGGCGACGCGATCATCAAGGTCCTTGGCAGGCTTGTTGTAGTAGATCTTGTCCTCCTTGCGCGGCCAGTAGTGGGTGTCACCAAGACCGAAAACGGAATAGTTGATGGTGGACAGGTCGAGATCACCGGTGTTCTTAACATGCTCCCAGAGACTACGACCGTTCACAGGGAATTCACCCTGGCCTGCAGTACTGGTGATGAAAACAACGTTCTCCTCGGTAGGCAAGTCCTCGACAGGGAACTCATCCATAGCGAAGACCATGGTCTTCAAGCCTCTAGCGCGACCACGGTTGCCAAGACGTTTAGCAATGTTCTGAGCATTGCCACCGTCAGATGCAAAGAGAATGGTGAGAGGAGCACCGAACAGACCATCCAAGAGCTTCTCGTATGAGTCCTTGGCGTTTCTCTTCTGCATAGCACGAACCTCGGTGCCATAGGACTCAGAGAGCACAGGAGCATACTTAGGTTGGCGGTTCATGAGCTGGGTAAGCTGGTTGTCCCGGCGGAGGAACTGCTCAAGATCACGCTTGATGCGCTCGGAGTCAAGGGAGAACTTTGGCTCACCCTTCTCCTCGTTGTCGGGGTTCCAGCGATACAGGGGCCAGTAGCCAAGATCGATGGCTTTCTTGGTCTCCTGCAGCACTGTGAGTGCCGAGTCATTCTCCTGGTTGTAAGGCAGGTAGGCAACAACAACTGAGGGACCCTTGAACTGCTGGGCCTCGGACATGGCCTGAAGAACCTGGGTGTACGAGCTGTAAACAGCGACCGAGGCGACGTAAGCGTTACCTCTGTTCATGGCATAGAGACCAATATCCTTCTTACGGCGAGTGGCGTCAGACGCAGCGCGCTCAGAGAAGGGTTGAGAGTCGATGATGAGCATGTTCACGTTCGCGCCAGATGCGAGAACGTGATGAACACCGGAGTTACCCAAATCGTAAGCCCAGGCATCGGAGCCGATCAGCCAGTCAGACTCTTCGTAGAAGAGACTCTTAGACTGGAGGAGTTGGCGGGAAATCGCAGAGCCATCGTTGGAGAGGCGACTAATCACATCAGGAGCAAGCTTGTTGGCCTTGGCGGCTTCCTTCACATTCAGAGCCCAGCGAGACAACCAAGTCTTGGGAACGTCAGTAGCAAAAGCGGTGGACTTGGTGGCTTCCTCAACCTCCCGGATGAAGCGTTGGCGACGGTCCTGGCGAGCTAGCAGTGAACCAAATCCAAACTCGGGGCTCGCGGCAATAGTGCTTGAAACACCGGCATTGTTGGATCTAAGCTGGTTGGCAATGTGGAGACGCTCTCCAAAGAGCTGACTCAAGATCTTCAAGTAAGCATTCTCAATGCGAGGCTGCTCGAGAGCAGGTTGAATAGCAGGAACCTGAGAGCTTCCGATGTCAAGATTCTGGATAGGAGAATCGGAGTTTAGGTTCTGCAAGACACCGCGAAGGGCCTGAACAGCAGTGGAGGGCTCAATATGCCCGAGACGGTACCCGACAATTTTAGGGGCCTGAGCGCGAGCGCCAGAGGGTGTCAGGCTGGACAATAGATCCATGAAAGAAGGACCCCATCGGGTGGTCTTGCGAACCTGCTCGAGAACAGCGATCTTCTCAATGGAGCTAGGGATAGAGTTGGAAATCTGTCCACCAACCCAGGGGCGGTACAGGCGGGCAGTGATCAGGCCAATGTTCTCCAACTCCGGGTTGGCACCGGCACTGGCGAGAGCATCCACGAAGACTCCGGTGGAGCCAAAGACGAAGATAGCAGACTTGGCATCGGCAGCGCCGGTGTACTCAATGGCATTGTATCTGCGGCCCACCTCTTCGAATAGAGTGTTCCAAATCTGAGCTGTCCACTCGAAGATATCGGCCGCGTTAACAGGCCGAGCGATGGCGCTGTCTACAGTCGTCGCGGTCGAGCTCGGGGCTTCACTGCCAGCACTGCTGTCTCTCCGTGAGGAGCCAACCGATGAGTTGTCAACGCTAGCGTTGAAGGGGGTTTGAGGTTGAGAGGGCACGGTCAAGTTCGCTGGTTCGGGTAGACCAGCGGGTGAAGTACCTACGGTCTCTTCAGTGACAGTGGCCACACGACCAGACTCGGCGTAAAGAGTCTGGGTTCCAGCAGAGATGGCAGAGTTTCCACCAACGCTGAGAACCTTCTTCACAACCTCAACGTCCTCCTCGGGAATAGAGGGGTCCTTGGCCGAGTTGGAGGGGTCAAAGAAGTGGATAACACCCTTCCCAGACTTGTGGGCGAGCGCGTGGGCTGTAATAGCGATGTCCTGAGCCTCTTGCACGGTCTCTGAGTGGAGGAATGTGAAACCGGACTGGCGGATGGAGCTGATTACGGAGTAATCGGGGAACGGAGAGGGCTCCAGAGCAACGTGAATGACCACGGGGCTGTTGGCGAGACGGTAAAGGTGAGGGACGGCGGTAATCAGGACCGAGGAGCTAGTGACGACGGAGGTAGTCTCGCCATTCTGAAGGGGGGTGAAGGCAGACAGGAGGGGATCTTCATTATAG